TATAATAATCAATATTATTCAAAAATATAATAATCAATATTATTCAAAAATATAATAAATTAATATTTTAAAATTTGAGATATATTAACAGATGTTAGAGTAGATAATAAAAAACAATATGTTTTTACTTTTTTCACAAAATACAAAATATCTACAATACTTTAAAAAAAAAATCTTAGAGTCTGCTTTAAAAATAATAAATTATTATATAAATATTTTTGAATAAAGTATTGAATTAATGTATAATTCTATTTATTTTAACTAAATTTAACTTTGCTTAACCAAATACCAAAACATATTAAATTTTCATTAAACTAATTATACTATATCATTATGTAATTTAAAAAAAAAATCATTAATTAAAACAGATATTTGATGCATAATGGGATTATGTATATTGTATATTTCATTTCTTAAAGGGGTACAACTTTTTCTTCTGTTAAATTGATTTCAATCACACAAATTGTTTAATGGCCATATAAAAACGTCACGGTAATTTATTCCATTATAAATTAATGTATCATATATGTCGTTTTTATTAAAACTCGACTAATAATTTTCTAAACAACGGTTACACGCAATTTTTTCTATTTTAAAAGTGAATTATGGGTACCTATATATTTTATTTGATTTATTGTTATTTTAAAACAACAATATAATAAAGATATAAGTAGGTACTACTGACTACTGACATAACGTTCGTGTTCAAAATTACTTAGCATGATATTTCTGTATACCAGGACATAATAATATCTATTATAAACACATGTAATATGTCGTGATAACACAGAGTATAGATATTTTAAGCGTGAGAGGAAACCTTGTTTTCAGGCAGATGGAACTCGTTGAGTGGGTTCAGAAATATTCGTAGTAAATAATAATTTACCAATTATTATTTTATTTTTTTTATTTATTAGTATAAGATAATATAACAAAACTTAATTATTTTAAAAGAATATTCTTATGTTAATTTTATATAGAAATCGTTTAACTATTTGTACATGGATTAATAAAGAGTTGTAAATACCCTATGATTCAGTTAAAATATTTAAGATTTAAACTAAATTTAAATATTAATTTATCATAAACATATAATTTACATATATAATGTTTAATTTTTTAATTTTTTTGATTTTAATAATCGTATTTAGGACAGTAGCACTTAGGTTATTCGTATATTGTCGGTATTAGTATTTTATAATTTTGAATATTATTATAGTTAATTATTTTTATTTCAGAAAGAATGGTTTGAAGGTTACCAATTGGCATCAGCAATGAGTTTTAAATTTCCTCAATTCAAACGATTGGCGCTTAATACGATTGTACCAAATGCAAGTCGCGATGGAATACATTTGATGGAACTATTACTTAGTTGGAATCCAATTCGTAGACCAAGCGCACAAAGTGCTTTAAGGTATTAACTGTATTATATGTATAAATATTAACCATATCTACTTTAATATATTTATCTACCACTAAAACAATTAGTACCTATAAATTAGCATACAATGATGGGATAAATAAATGATTATAGATTCTGAGCTAAGCGATGAATGTATCGATATTACAATGTGATTTTTATGTATTAATGTATCAATGTGTATTTGTGTATACACATTAATAAAGTATAAAAAATACTTCAATCTTCAACCTTGAATGTATTTTTTGATAGTAAATTGAAATTTGGTATTTTTAAGCTCAATGTCTTATAACAACCTATATTATTATATGATACAAATTTATAACATGAAATAGAAACAAAACTTTTATAGACTTATAAAAACTAATTTTCAATAAGGGGGCTAATAATCACACCTTGTTAGAGTTAAAATCTATTCATTACGTTTTAATGTCAACGGGGCCAAGAGTTTATAAAATATTTTTGTATCAGTATCTTAAAATTGCGTGAATGGAGAACTGCGTGTTGAAGAAACATAATATGTTTAAATGTATAATATTATGATCATTAAAGGCATATCATGATTTTTGAGCGTTTGATAAATTCATAAAATTTTAATTTTTAAACAAATTAATATACATAACAATAAAATATGATTGTAAATATAATTTTTAAGTAATTTCTTATCAAGAAAAATACAACCATTTGATGTAAATATTAACTAATTATCCATGATATTATTTATCTTAAAGATAGTTTGAAATGTGTGCCATAGCCCACAGCCGGTTACATCCTTATACCTATACAAATTTACTATCCTTTTATCATATTTTATCTATAATTTAATTATTATAGTGTATAGTAGGTGCATAAAGGCTAATAATAATAACGCTATACTTATTACAGCATAAAAATAGTAACATTATGTCTTTTTGGCTATTTTTCATTTTGAACATTAGTTATATATTTTATATTTTAGACAACCGTACTTCCAAGTAGGACAACAACGTTTGAGTCAGGATGTAGGAGAAGTGTCTTATGCTAAGATTGGTCAACAAAAAAGACAGCCCGTACAACTAATGAAATCACAAATTTCACTCCTACAATCTAACAGCAATAAACAATTAAAGTGAGTTTATAAATAATTATAATGAATTATATTATTCAAATATCATACTTCATAAGAATTAAAAATTAATACAAAATACTAGTAGTTTGATAACTGCAGCCGCAGAATATTTCGAAGAGCTTAAAATTACAATAGTATTATGACGATGACTTTTAGATATGATAAACAATGGGAAACGTTGACGAACAAGCCAATCGGTAATAAAGAAAAAACGTGGTACGATAATGATGCAGATGTTATGGTGTTGAGCAAAAAGAAACTAAGTGCCAAGCAACATTATCTATCCGTAGCCAGATATGTAACGGGGAGGGCTTCCAACTTTCAAGCAGCTGAGAATGAGTAAAAGAATAATTTATCAATAATATTAACATCAAAAATAAAAATTATACGTTAAATGGTATTTTGAGATTTACAACAGCAAAAGAGTAAAAAAGAAATAGCAGTTAAAATTGCTAACACTTATTTTAAGACTCCTATGACAATCAAAATAATACCAAAAAAAAAAAGATTTAAAAAAATATTGTCTTAATAATATACAAATATACATACAAATACTAGTACTACAGATATTTTGTTAACTACCTACATGCTTAAATACAGAAAAACATCATAATTTTTAAGTTTTATTTTGTTAAATTCTTTACATATCATATTTATCGTAGAGATACGCGTCATATTTATTAATTTAGACATCATTATTTACTAACGTGAGCAAGAAAATAAAAAACTTAAGCATATAATTTATTTTTAATAGGTTAATATTTGAGTAGATAACTAATTATTAGGTAATATATTAATATAGGTATGTCTATTGGTACTATAGACTATTAGGGTATATTAGATTTTATAGGTTTATCAATTTATAAAACATAAAACATAATATGATCTCAGTATCAAGCATTTACTAATAAAAAATAATCTTTATCCGCAGAATTATATTTTTAGTAAACTATTAAATATTAAAAACAAAATATCTAAATAAATATTACTTAGGTAAAATTTGATTATACCTACTTTGCTTAAATATTTTTTTATACAAAACTTACTATATATAGGAGTATATCAAAAAGCATGAGAAATGATACGTTTCCATCTGTAAGCAAAGTGTCTTATGGCCAAAGTGATAAGAATAAAAATGGCAAACGACATGGAAAACCCGAATGGACGTCAAAGTAAATAAATAATCTTCGTGATTCTGAGCTGATTAAAATAATATTCGACATTATTGTTTCAGGTACTTGGAGTAAATTGAGTAATAATTAAAATCAAAAGCTGTATTTAATCAAATTTTAAAAAAAAACAATCAAAATCATATTATTTTTTTAGCTTCCTAAACTCTGCTATATATATATACACAATTTATTGTATATTAATAATAATATCACATATTATAAACTTTTAGTTTTTTAAATACTATTTTTTAAATTTTTGTATTGTGTACGCGCTAAAAATTTTAATTGAATAATATTTAGTATTTAGCTTTATGGACAATAGACATGTGTTAGAAAATGTAATTATGATTATGAATTTTAACTATAAAGTTTAACATTCTAAGCGAGCACAAATTGTGCACGTAATTATCATTTGTTAAACACGTAAATATTTTATATTTTATACGAGATTAAATTGTGAAGTGTAACAAAAATACAAAAATATCAAATACCTACTTAGAGTGACATCATTTGAGTTTTTAACATGGATATAGGAAAATGTTGTATTATTATCAGGCCACTTTTTCTTCATCACAATAAATACGTATATTTTATGTACTTTTATCGGGCTGAAAAGTTAAAGCTTAATATTTTAGTAAAATAAAAAAATTAGGAAATTTAAAATATAACTTTTCGTGCATACAACATTCCATTAATAAATATATATTAAGTATTAGCCATTAGGTACATTTATATTCTATAAACATAAATATACATTACTTCCATACATATTTTATTGTATTTTACGCATTATTTTATGGTTATCGCTGGGGCTCGGAAGTTGATGACCTTAAAAACATTAAAAAATTACTTAAAAAATTCAAATATGACAAAAAAATCACATAAAAATGACCTAAAAAATTATAAATATTTATTTAAAATTAGTAAAAATACATATTTTTTTTTTTTTTAAGAATATTATTAATAATAAAAATTACTCAAAATTATTACATTGTACTATTAAAGTATATTTTATATTGTCAAAAGTAAAAATGACAGCTAGCAATAATTGCCTCATTCTATCGAATCTTTATCTTTACTTAACCAGTATACAACTTGAGTAAAATATAAATTTGATGTAGGTAGTCTATATAAAACAAAAACTATCCGAGAAAGATATTAATTCACGAAATCTTATTATAAATACAAGAAATTGAACTAAAAAGGAAAATAGGACCTAAAAATGACAAAAAATGACTTAAAAAGTAAAAAGCCAAAAATACGAAATAAAATTTAGTTATTTAGATTTGCATGTTCGTGTAGCCTAGAGAGCATCGTCTAATAAGTTCCAAATGCAAAATGCATCAACTTCCGAGCCCTAGTTATCACAATCTATTTTAAACGTTTAACTTTTATGAATTTTAACGCGTGTTTGCAAATTTTATAGTAAGTTATTAATAAGACATGGAAAAAATTAGAGGTTTCAAAGTATACTATCTCTGCTCCCTTCTCCCAGATATCTGTGAAGTAGGCCACTATAAGTAACAATTTAGTGGTAAGAACGCCATCAAAAGTCTCTTGAATAATATTTTTTTTCGAATCACTACAATTAAACTATTACTCGATTCCAAATTCGTCTAAAACACATGGGTATACACAGTATATATACTTTTATTAATTTACCTTAATGTTTTAAAATTTGATATTTTGCGAAATCTACTCAGAGGTTCTATGTGTAAAAGTGTCGAACGATAAAAATATAATTTTATAAAAGTAAGACATACATCCGATTTGATGTCACCGTGATGCGCTTTGTTGAATATTATTGTATAAAACTATACAATTCACAAACAGGCAATAAATAGAAAATTGAATTTTTTAACTTTAAACAGATTAGGACAGATAAAATTACATAATATTTACTGTAAATGCAGTATCTATCTATATATTAGGTACTGTTATATTGTATAAACAAGAAACAATATTTTATCAAGTAATTATTCATTTTTAGTTACATAACTTTATTCAGCCAAAAACTGAATTTGAGCGAAGACAGTCTATCAACCTGTTTTTAAGTATATTTCATGATAAATATTTATACTACTATTAAAATAATTAATTTTACCATTTACAATAATGTAGATTTTTTTTGTAAACATTAAATTTCAAAATACTATTCTTTATATAAAATATAGTAATATACGTTAATGGTTTCAATTACCTACCCACGATTAATATTTTTAAATTACAACAAAGTATCTAAAATTCTTTTTTTTTGTTTAAATACTTATCTAAGATTGCCCAAATGTACACTTATTTTAACAATGAAAAAACTATATTTATTCTTTTTTTTAGATTTTTAAATCACAGTATGAACTACTTATGAGAAACCTTGTATACTCTTTTTATAGTTATTTAAAATCATAAAAATGTGAGATATTTGTCAAACAACAAATAAATCGTAATACCATAGTAAAATTCTAACAATTAAAAATTAAAACTTTAAAAAATATAGTGTTAGCTATATTTGATCAATATTACCATAAGATATAAAATTTTAAATAGTAAATTGTAATTCGTTATTTTATTTTATAACATAAAAATATTAAATTCAATATTAAATTCAATATACAATTCACTTAATGGTTTTGAAATAAACAAATTTAAATAAAATACTTCTTACTAATTTAACAATGCAATAGAAACGTATACAACAAAATAGGCAATGCTAAATTATCAACTTGTTCAGTTTTTGCTTCGACGAAAGTTACTAAACCAACTCCTAGTAGCGGTTTAATCAGATTAGTATCACATATTAAACCTATTGATTATAAAAAAAAAATAATAATTAATAAAAATATGGATTTAAAAATTTCACAAGAATCTGAATTCACAACAAAATCCATTTTAATTAATAAAAAGAAAATTAAGATTTTAAACATGTAATTTATAGTAAATTCTAAACTTTAATTATGCTTTAAAGGAACTAAATATAAGTATATTAATTATTTATATTGGATTACTAAAGAGTAAATATAATAATTTTATAAAAGGATTAAATGAAAATGAACCAAAATTAAATAACAAAAGTATTTGAATTAATGGACATAATTTTTGTTTTCATTCCATAATTAAGAAATAAATAAAGAATTTCGTTATAAATTGAGATTCTTCATGCATTATATATTTATATAAACACCTGAATACTCGAGAGCGACGATGCACAGAGCTTGAGAAACGAAACAAGCCACGGAACCTTCAACACTTTTTTTCGTACCTGAAAATTATGTATTAACACACGTTGATTCCATGCATATAATTTGTATTCCATATTATATGAAATGTTTTTTGTAAATTTATTGTTTACCGTAATTAATATTCTTAGCCCAATATTACATTACAAACACAGAATAGTAACTACCCACTAAGTCATAACTAAATTCTTAGATCTGCAGTTTTTTTCAATTGTTTATTGTTTTATTTTATTTATTTTGTAAATGTATTCGCATTATAATTAGGTAAAGTTAAATTTTTAATTTAAACTATGAAAATAACCGTTCTATTTTGTTAGATTACAATAACGGATATTCTAACAGTATAAAAAATTTGAGCAAGACGTACCTTTCCACTTATGACGTCCTATACGTGAGCCTATTACACTAGCGGCTGTATCTCCAATTCCTATGGATAAAACACCAGCCAGCAGTGGTAACAGACTCCTGAAGTCAGGTTGCGGGTGGATCCAAAGGGGCAGAGAGCACCCTACGAGCAAGTAAATCGGAGTGAACGCCACAGGTCCTTCGTCCTTCTCATCCGAGTATACACGAAAACCTTCTTGAAGAACCATGCCTAGTGGCGGCATTTTGGCAATGCGCAGAGTCTGTCTCAAGGAAAAAAAATTTACTTAAATAATATTATAATAAAAAGAAATAAACATAGAATATAATAACTTGCTGTAGAGAATTTACTTAAAAAAAAAATTGTTACATTTAATACTTTAATAAGCTGCATGGCCCCAATTATAAAAAAGGTACAATAGGTATAAAATATTTCAACATAAAATAAACATGTACATGAATACCTAATACCTATAAGTAAATAAGTATTTTAATATAATTACAAAGCATATGATGTATTACATGTATTATGAGACATGAGTTATATATTATTAAACATTATTCGTAAAAAAGGTTGAATATATAAGCTTATATCTATTTTAAATATATAAATACTCGCCTCTATAAATATGAAACCGGCAAAAACCACACCACTGGCCAAGTACAACAGACAAGGATCACGAACAAGACCCGGAGCGTACACAAGGCAAGCGACTAGATGGAAGTACTTCCTAATCGACGTTGACGCTTTAGCGTCGCTTATTATTTGCATGCACACGAAAACAATGGCGAACGCCGTACAGCCAGCCCAGTACAATAACAGTATCGTCTGTAAACAAAGTAATTACATGCTTATTGCTCATATATAATACATATGTATTTTATTTTTAGTCAAAAATTAATACATAATATTGATGTGTTCTCACCGTGTGCCGGTCCCTAGTGACCCAATGAAAGATTTTCAATATAGGACTACCGTTTAAGATGATATGTAGTGGTAACATTATCGTGGCAGAAACAACTACGACAAACGTCGTGTAAAACCGTCCAGGTGATATACGTAGCGTTTCCACGTTGTACACTATCAGGGCGAATGCGGAAATGCCGACGATTCCAAACTGAAAGAATAAAGGAGTTATATTACAAAACTTGCATTGTAAAAATATTTATATTTTTCATTATCTCAAGACTTAGAATTTATTGTATACTCAAAAAATCCAATAATCAGAATTTTAATAAGCACATAATTTAAGCAATATTAATCGATCTAATTTATACACTGATAAAATATAGAAAAATCAAAGGGACATTACGAATACACCATTGTGTATCTTTATTTTATCAAATACATATTATATAATAGGATGATTCGTTAAGCATGCTCATCCCAATTTTTCTTTAACAATGCAATTATACAAAATCTAATTTTTGTAATTTTTAAAACCTTACCTTTTTTACTTTTAATTATTCAACAGATATTGTTTTTGAAAAAATATAAATCAAAATTTAAACAAAAATTCAGTTTCTGACTTATAAGACTTTGTGTTTAGAATAATATAATATAATACATAGATCATGGTAATCTGGGCGCACTCAGCTAAGGCTATACCTATACCTCATACCTATTGCTCATTAGTATTATTACTTATTAGTTATTATTCAGACAACTCATAAAATGCTAATAGATTAATTAAGCTTACTTAGTGTTGTTTTTAAATCAATTGAACAGTAAATAGCATCAAACATATTATCTATTATCGTTAGTTAAAATTTTGATTTAGTTACACATACATCACATTCTTAAAAAGGTACATCATCTACTAAACCTACTAAATATTTTTTTAAGTGTAAACGGGTGATTCACAGTTGAAAAAAACTCTCATCAAATGGCGTGGTACAAAAAAAAATCTTCGAATAGATATTCGAAAATATGGTCGTTCTAGTATATTTAAAAATTCTAAAATGTATTTCTTGAAATATCAGCATAATAAAAAAAAATTCAGCATGCTTGATGAATCACCCATCCACTCTGAATATATATTTTTAACAGTAGAGGTGTCAGCAGGTCCTCTGTCAATCAATTATGCACCCCCCCCTCTTGATCGCGACCAGTTAAAGCTCTGCCAACACTCGTGTAGGTATATACTGCTAGACGGACGCGACTATATTATAGGTATACCTGTAGGATTAGCGTGAACACGTCGAAGCACGTTTGCTGTCGGTATGGCGCTAACATATTGGTGCCGGAAGCGACGGCGAATAGTAGCAAGGCCTGGGTGGTGACGGTGGCTTCGCCGTACGTGAAACTCAACGGGGCACACGACACGATCGACCGCAAAAGCCGGTGATAGGCCAGTGCGCAGAACGCGGCACACGCCACGTTGTAAACGACTCCTATTATACAACATATTATTATTATTCATATAATTGTCAATGTAATTTATTATTGAACCGTCTACGATTAATAAAATATATTTTAGATAGTAACGGTACCTAAATATACGCAAGAGCTATGGGGCATATATCAATTGCGCCGAAAATCACAGGTAAAAAAAGAAAAATTATGGGATAAGAAAAAGGTATACATCAATTGCGCCGATCGGTTCTTAAATATATTATTATATAAATGCGTCTTACAAATAAGTTTTGTAAGTATGGTTTTTACGTGTTGTAATCTAATAAGTAGATTATCTATATCATAGCCCATAGATACATTTGAAAACCATTATATTTTTGTTTATTGCTGTACAAATAATTATAAAAATAATATAGTTAATATAAATGAATATTTAATTAATATAATATAATATAATATAATTATTATAAAAATTAAAACTAACCAAGACAGTTTGTGTCATTGCCAAATGCTCCGGCGCAATAGATGTATACTATATAGGTAGTGTCCCAAATCCGGCGCAATTGACGAACACCGGAGCTACGAATAGCCACAATAATTATTGGTCTTATGCCGGGCTTAGTGTGTTTTTGTCTATAAATTGCCCATACGTGTACCATCACCATATATAGGAGGTACTAGATACTCAATATCCGTTATACTATATCATCAGGATTGATTATATGTACGCTCTTATAAACTTTACCCTCGATAGGGTAACTTAACCAAATGTTTTAAATTTTTAAATTTTATTTTGTATACTCGTATAGTGTATTGCTAAATCCGTATTATAATTGATAATATTAAATTATGCTCACGTCTACCTATTTTAATATAAGGTTCATTGGCAATAATTACCATGGATTAAATATTTATTTTTTTGTGCATTTTGTATTTTGTGGTTCAAATACATTCCGATACTAATTCTTCGTTTTACATAACATTAAACTATTTTAAAATATATAACAATTTAAAAATAATATTCTATTTTATTCATTATGTGTTTTAAATATTTTTAAAGATCATACTACCATTTTTCTCAAAAGAAACTAATTCTAAATAAACTCAACTCGCGACAACATAGGTACACATATTTTCCACAATGAATTATTTCAAATCAAAACAGAGAAATGATATGTTGTTATAAGAAGATACTACTGCTTGTGTTTTATAAAAATATTTTAAACTAACAAAATACAAAAATAATTAGAGAATTTTGTTAAAATCTCCCTCGGCCATCACCCTGAGAAAAAATTGTTTTTAAGTACCCTACTTATAAGTTATAGACAACATTAACATGGATTTTCTTTTAATTTAATTACATTTTTGAGCGTAATCAAAAAAAAAAAAGTTTATCACTCACTGCTTACTTTAATTAAATATGATGACTGACAGATCCAGAAATAAAGGCACATTTTTCTCATTTAAATATCAAAGATCCGTTTTCAATGTTCTTAAATAAATTCGAGTGTATTTATTTAGTTACGTTTATTATCTACTGATACTAAAATATGTACCATGGTCAATATTAAATTTATGTAAAAAAATATTTAACTATAAAAGGTACAAATAGCTAATAAATTCAATTATTTTTGCGGTTTTGCAGGGTTCGTATATAAAATATAAATTAAAGTAAGGAATAAGAGCAAACCTTTCCAAGTATTATTTGTGAAAAAAATAATTTTTAAACCGTTGTACCTACTGTTATGGATAATCGTGTGTAATGTGTCGACATTTTACTTTTACTTGCCCATTTCAGTATAGAGGGTGAGCAGTTGCGCGATAACAGCCGCAGTGACAATGTAACTCAACGGTTTGGCCGGGAAGCGCTCGCAATGCAACACATCGGACACAGCACTAATCAAAATACCCAAACTCAGAATTGTCGAGATTACGTATGGTTCTGAGTAGGTTTCGCAGGTGTAAAGGCCTGTGATTATTGCACACGGCAACACAAACATTAGCCATACTCCAGGTGCAGCGTTCCGCCTAAAATACAAACAACATTGAAATAAAAAGTAAATGAAAATATATTTGCAATATTACGGTAGTTACAGCAGTGGTGAATTTAAGAAAAAAATATTTTATCTATAAACATTACAGAGGTGACTTTTAAGCAACAGGTTTTTTTTGTTACACTTGAATTTTCTGACTTAAAATCTACTGTCACGTATCAAGTTGTTTTAAGTCTTTAAAATACAATGAATTTATTTATGCAAATATTTGCAATTTTTTTCAACTCTGAATGAGAAAAAGAATGTCAAAAGGGTCACCCAGGATGATATTATTAAGTCCTATTGTTATAAGGTTGTTAAATACTACTTATTACTAAGCTACCAATCACTGAATCACATAATAGCCATTGACACATCATTCCTAAAATAATTAGATCGAATCATTTTCTATTCAACTCTTGATAGGTAGGTAGATAAGTAAATTGGTTGCTACATCTACCACGATAATCATCTACCACAACTTAATAATATTCCCAAATCTTCGCGTATTCTGGTACGACAATGACATTACTCTGATATAGGCACCTATTATTACTCCAAAATTCATACTACGGAACGCAATAATTTTTAGTTGATGAAAATAGGTAGATCATTTATTACTATTTTAAACCAATGTAATTATAAAATATAACATTATACAAAAAAGGTTTGTTTTTAAAAGTCTAAGCTTATATGGAGAAGACAATATTTCATGTCTTCAACCTGTATATTTTTGTAACGTTATCTATTGACAACGTTCTTAAAGTAAATACTAATGAGAAAATAATAATACAGTAAAAACAATCATAAAAAAATATAATGGATTATTAAAGCTATAAGTTGGGGTTTTAAGTACATACAATTTCAAACCCAACAGGTGTAATATAGTGGCGTATTTGTGGAGAAAGATTAGGGAAATATATCTCCCCTCGAATCCCTTTTTTATGTACAAATATAATATATTATATACTTAGTTATTAAAAATTGAAGTATCTACTTTTTTTGAGTGGAGGGAAAAAACATCTAACCACCTCTAAAAAATGATAATCAATCTCTTTTCAAAAACCGCGTTTGTTTCACCATTAAATATGATTATAATTAACATTCGTAACTTCATAAGATCATAAAAATATTATATATTCTACTATATAGATAGATAGTTGTAATAAAATGAAGTTATAAATGTTATAATAAAATATTGGAGTAGTTCATACTTCGTAACAGTGATTTTATTTATAGCAGTTGTATAACCCTGTATATTAAATACTAACTATACATAGAATAGGCACTTAATCCAGACATATTTAATTCAAAATAAAATCTTCCCAGTTATTATTTAGCTACTTTATAATTATGTTTTTAGTATTGCTATTTGCTGTATAAAATATTGTTTTTTTTACAGCTCACTATATTTATTCTGGTAATAACTAATAGTTAAATAATTAACAATTATTTATTAATAATAAATAATAAATTAAAGTATACTCAATATTTTTCCAATTAGTATACAAAAATATTATAATTTCACATTAATATACATCAATATTTAAATTTTAAACAGTTTAGTATTAAAGTGTTTAAGTACTTAACTATATAACAATTTGTAAACATTATGTAGGATCTTTTCGTGATTTTGTAAATTAGTAAAAACCATTTTAACTGTAAAAAAATTGTTATCAAATTAAATAAAAAAATTATAACAACAAAATACCATAGGTACTTTAAAAGAGATACAAATATATTTACTTTTTGGTTATCATAATATAATACTGAAAATTATTAAATTATTTGACATACAATACAGAAATTCTTTTTAACAAAATAATAATAAAATCTTAAGAACAAATGTAAAAAAAAAATATTATGATTCTATTTATTATTTGGGTTTCCAAATCGGTCCATTGTTTTCACCTGAGCAGTTAAGTCAATCTGAACTTTTTTCCTTAAATAAAATATTGGACAATCTCTACTAGTGCAAATGACTTCTTCGTGTAAACTTCCTTGACAACGTTGACACTCGGTCCATAACCGGCAAAACTTTTCCTGTAGATCATTCACTTTAACTCGTTCTTGATAATATAGCTCACCTTGTTTAGGCATACAATATTTGCATAAAGCATTTTTCTCTTCATTAGTAGGCAGTACACTTTTACACCCCAGACAAACTTCTTTTTTTTTTGTGAAAGCTGATAATGCACTCACTTTAGATGTTACCATGGCTTTTTTTCGTGTATGATCACCTTTCAATAATACAGATTCTGCTTTGTCTCCGAGGATAGGAGAAAAAATTCGGACCAAAGGTTTTGACAGTTGATTTTCCAAATAATAGTTAAAATCAATAGGTATATTGTTTTCTAAAACAAATATCGGATCTTCTGCTCGTTGATATGCTGGAGTACCCTTAGTACCTGTAATTAGAATATATGGTATACGGTCACCTAACTTTGGTGCATTTCCGGGATCTCTTTTTTTCATCTTAATAGATAACTCCACATGAGCTTGTTTTGCAGTGTAATCATTTTTGGTCAACTCCTTTGTAATTACCAACTGTGATATGTCAATTCGATTGCATAACAAATCACTAATAACTTCTTTTGCATAGGCAACTGCACCATCGGGATCTCTATCAATAAGCAATTTTTGCAAACAGGTGTTAATCATGTTAGATACTAAAGGTGAATTATCTCTGCGTACTGTCTCTAATCCCTTACAGTCCATCTTGTCATATTTGTCAGGTCTTGTAAAATAAAGGCCAGCATAACGTTTTTTATTAATTAATAAATAAGGAAAATAAACTTTTTCAAAATCTAATTTAATAGGATTTATAAATTTTGTTGTTACATATTCAGCAGCTTCACGTCCCAATTCCATTGCTTTCTCAATAGACTTCACTCCAAATTTTACCATAACAGAATCGGTGTCTCCATAAATAACTACAGCGTCATGTTCATAACCATTTGCTATGCAATATTTTTGTTCAACCTCTTGCTTAGTACGTTCAATCATCATTCTACCATATGAGGTAACACTTGTTGATATTTCTAAACATGGTAACTTACCTACTTGAGCTCCAGTAAACCCATATACTGAATTTGCACTAATTTTTAAAGCCAATTGCCGACCATCTAAGACTTTTTTTTTGAAAGGATCAGTTTCGGACTTCAAATCTGTTTTTGCTTTTTTACGTGCAGATAATAAATTTTCTAAAATTTCAGGTAATAGTCCCTTTCGTATGGATTTAGACAAAAAGTAACTACCAGAAGGAGTTTTAGTATAATCACTTTCAGACAAGTTTAAAAGATTTATTGTTTTTTGAGTCAAAAGTGTAGTATAACATAAATTATGAGCCATCATAATACTTGGATACAAAGAAGTGAAATCTAATGTAGCGATTGGGTCAGCATAATAACCTTTAATAGGTTCAATTACAGTCGCTCCTTCAAATTGTTCATCTTGCATACCACCAGCCATAGTAGGCATTATATAATTTTTTTCTTGTGCAAGACGAAGTAATTGAGATACAACTTTAGCCTGCTGACCTCCAGTTAAAAGACTTCCTAATGGAACACCAGTTACTCTGGCCATTTCCATGTAATTAATTAAACACATAAGTTTATCTAATAGTTTCAATGGAAGGAATGCATCTTTTAAACAGTACACTGCTAGACGACGTCTTGTTTGTGGTGTGCCATTTTGTAAATCTGTTATAATACTGTGATGGACATCTTCTTTTTGTTCTTGTAAAAAATGATAACTGACAGAGTTTAATGAATATGACCGTAACTTATAGTCTCGCACTAATACCAAGTATAAATCAAAAGGAACTCTTCCGTCAATATTAACACTTTTATTTTCTCGTCGGCCCATTTGTTTACTTTGAATAACTTGTTCTCTTATAATAGATTGTATATTTTTGATGCGTCCCAAGAAATTGAAATTCTTTGTTTGCAAATGTTTTGCACGATTCAACAAATAAGGTAAATCAAAATTATTAATATTATAACCAGTAATAATGTCAGGATCACATTCTCGAACAAATGCAGCCCATTTTTCAAGCATATTATTTTCTTTTTCACAACTTATAACTTGACTGCCAACTATGGGTGCACATGTATTCAATGTAAACACATTTCTAATTAATCTTTTGTTTTCTATTTGTACCATATTAGCTATTTGTATAACAGGATCTTTGTCTGCTTCGGGAAATATACCTTTACGGCCAGCACATTCAATATCAAAGCTGAGAATTCGAAAAGGTGCAACTTTGCTCCACTCACCCTCTGGAGCATGAGCTATTATTTTTTGCCAACCAACATCTACCTCAAATTGACATCTAGATTGTCCTTTTAATTTTGAATTGGAATCACGTATTGTGTAAGAGCCTGCAGGAAGTTCGATCCAGCTACAACCAACAATTTTTAAATCTACCATAAATCGCATATCATAATCAACATTAGTTTCAAACATTCTATAATTATGTCCAGAAAATGTAGGTAATACTGTTTCTTTTTCCAGAAGTCTTTTTGCTGCAGGTACCAATTTTGGTAAAGCCATAGTTATTTTTAAATATTTTTCAAATTCTTCGCCATGATAACCATAAAGGTTTATCTTTTGAACTATTTCAACCATGAGAACGGGTTCCTGCACTCTATTTTGATTTCCACGCATATCACTTAAAACAACTGCGTTTAAACGGGTTTTAAACTCTTTACAATGTTCAGGACCAAATCCTTCAGGAGCGCTAGTATAAAAGTATGGAGAATACCCATGCACATTACAGCATACAGAATTACCATCCATGGTAATTCCAAACATTCGAGTAATGGGAACTAAGCCAGTTTGTGCACCACTCATTCCTTTTATTGGTTCTCCAATATAATTGTCAATAGTAAGTTGTTGAAAAGCTAAAGATTCAGTAACTGGATTAATTTCTTTCATTGCAGGTCTACTCCACAAAGCACTGGAGTCTTCTTGGTCAGGACCCTCGCCCAATAGATCTGGTGAGGATTCAAGTTCTTTGTCCATTTCTTCCATAATTGCAAGATCATTTTCAAACAGTAATTGTTCATCATCTTCAACTTTAAATTTTTTGTTTAAATTGCCTTGCTTATCCGAAGAATTTGGTCTTTTTTTATTAAACATCTTGCTTGAGATTTAAAAACTTCTGCAATAAAAACAAATTCAATAAAGGGTTTTACTGAGATTTAAAAAATGAATTTAAATTTAAATTATAAATTAAAATTTCATCTAACCTAGGAAATTATGGTGTAAATAAAGTACTTAACTCAAAATCTATGGTACTTATATAATTTTATAACATATGCCAACATAAAAATAGATTATTATTTAATTATAAATAGTATTTACCTATATAAATAAATTTTAAATAATTTCCAATCCAACCACTAAGTAAATATATGTAAATGCTTGAAGTTAGTAATATAAATTAAACTTTGTTTTTACAAACTTAATTAAATCTAAAATATACATAAAGATATATCGTAGATAGATTGATAATTGTTCTATTTTAACATATTCAAATGTCATAATTAAATTAAAACTTAATTTCCAAATTATAAATTTGTATTAAGTAATTAAGATAATAATATCTGTAATTTTCAATATATTTCTAAACTTGAAGCAGTAAATTCATTCAACTGTTGACACTCTTAATAATAACATTTGTGGAATACATTATTATTTTGTTGAAAACCCATATTTATTAAATTAATAATGCTAATTAGGTACAAATAAGAAAAACAACATTCTATACATATGAATCAGAAACAAAAATATTTTTTAATAAAATTCAGTATGTGATACAATATGATATAACAGTTTTAAATAATCTAAAAAATAAATACAAATTAAAAAACTTATTAACAAAAAAATCTAACTTTTAAGTTCTTCTATAACTCAAAATATCAAATTCATTTGAATTAAAAAACAATATCTACTTAGATTTAATTTTAATTGAATTATTCTATATATTTTATTAATTTAAAGCACCAGTTTAGATACTTTTATAATCCATAATCAAATCTAGGTTAAATAAAATATAATTATAATACTGATTACTGACCTGTACAGTAAATTATTAAATTGTGCGGTTAAATTGATATTATCGTTTATAAATTTGTTTACATCGTTAATTGTTAACATGGCACACTGAGCATAAACCTTTGATCATCGATAATCAGCAATTCTGAAAAAAAATTATATACATTATACATGCATTTATAAACTATAATAATAAAATAAAATGACTGAATACAGTTACATTATCTGTTAAAATAAGTAACCTTATAGAAACTATAATAATATATACCTACATATTAGAATTTTTTCATTGAATATTATTTATACACCTACTATTAATTGATAATTATATGAAATATAATAAAATGTAGTATACCTGTCAATAAATACATTTGTGATTTCAAAGTATGAATGTAAGAAAAATGAAATATTAATTTCTTATAACAATCTACATTATTAACAAAACTTGTATTATATCATTAAAAAACTAAGAAACAGAAAAATTTAATAATAATTAAATCTATTATATGTTTTTAAATTATAGTGATTATCAAAATTAACAAAGATAATTTGTTTAATGTATAAAAGTAATAAGTAATAACAATTCATTATAAAATTTTGTCCAACTAACATTTGAATTAGTTTATACTTTATTTAATTAAAGTATTATCTGAGAATTTTAATTAATTTTTATGTTTTTTATGCTTAAATAACAAGATTAAATCACTTAATTAACTTTCAAAAAGTTTAGTACTGATACAACCTATATTTTGCGTATTAAGTTTTGTTTAAATTAGTTTATCAGATTTCCAAGTTGGTATAGAACGTGAATATCAAAAGTAGGGAGAGTTTTATGGAATACATTTTGAACAGGCATGATATAAGTTATAGGCAAAACAAAAAAAAAACACATGTGTGTTCATTCCGTCTTACAAATGTATGAAATAGCGAATTTGTGTTCAGTAGAACACATTTTATGTTGTTAACCTTAATATTACAGTAAATTTACCAAATGTAAAGGTAAGAATATAATTGTAGACATCTCAGACTTTTATTGATACCCTTTTACATTTTAAAAGAGTTACGAGCATTATAAAATTATAACATGTTACATAGTTAGGTTTAACTTATAATGCTATGTTATTTAAAATGGAAGAAGCAAATAATAGTTACACGTCTTTTATAGTCCTATCTTTTAATATTTATAAGACTTGAAATTATTTCATTATTGAAAGCTTATTTATTAAATCTACTTATTTAACTATTTAGCATAAACCATTATTACCTGCCTTTATTTCACAAATATACTTAACCCACATAATAAAATGAATAATCAAGGATGATTTTTTTTATAACAGGTAGTCTATAAAATATAATTAAACTGTACACCTAACTAAATGAAAATAAATAAATAAATTTAATTTATACTTTATAAATGATAACATATATATATTGTAGTTTAATAGTGAAACCTATAGTTCAATAACACAAATTGTAGTAACTGTTATTATTATTTAAGCAAATTACAATAATATTTTCGTTATTTAAATGTATATACAAAATGTAGGCATAAGATTAATTTATATAATCAAATACAAAATTAGATACAATTTAATACATACTATTACTGTTTCACGTTTTTAACTCGATCTGACAGTGTTTTTGTTATCAACTTTGAAGCAGAATATTGAGACTGAAACCGTCAAACCGATTTACTGAAACCGTGTGTCCGTGCCAGCTGCCTGCTAATCAAATTAATAAAATCAATTAAAGGTTTAAGGTATCAAATTCCAAAACAGAACAAAAAACAAGTCGATTCGGGCATAACCGACCGAGAGAACCTATAAGTTACGAACGACTACGTATTAATAGAATATACTAATATGTATAATACCTGTGCACTTTCAAAGTCAAAAGAAAATTTTTAATTTTATAAAATAAAAATTAACACGACAGCTACAGATCAGTAAGTACAGACTAAAACAAAATAACCTAAAAAAAAAGCGGGAAAAAATTGATAACCCTTTCCATAAACCGGCACATTATATACGTTACAAACGTAGATATTAGATAACATACAAAAGGGCCACTGAAAGTCTAAAGTCCGAATGACTCTGATAGTCTGATACTCAGATCTCAGATCACTCAGATCACGAAATCTGTAATGTGAATTGTGAATTGTGATCTTAATTATGAGCTCTAATTACAAAATATACGACAGACTTTGGAGCAACTGGTAACAGACCAACAGGGTAGGTAAGAATAAAATTAATAATAAATAATAGGTTGTTTTAAATTTGTATTTATTAATAATTCCATAGTCTTAAAAAGTATATTATTTGTTATTTAATATAAAAGAATAGGTCTTTTTATGTACCAAGTTTCTGAAAACACTATAGAGCTATTTAACGATTTTTTTTTTTTTTATTTGAGTTATACCAATTAATTCCCCGAGTGTCCCTAAGTCTCCCAATTTTTATTTTTTGTTTGTAGTGATAAGAAATGGGGAAATATATTTAAATGTTATAGTTTTTCAGCGAAGCATTTAAATAATTTTACGATTTTTTCGAAAAATTGTTGAATTGTAAAAATTATAGTATTATAGTATATTATATCATATAAATAATTGAAATTAAGTTCATTACTGCGCACAGAAATCGACTAATTAATAAAATATAAATAATAATATATGGTGATAAAACTCACTACGCATTTAAACAACCCAACAACTAAAAAAATCAACAGTGTTAATTTTTACCAAGTCCATACATGTGTAAATATTTTTTATATATTATTCAATGTTTATTATATATGTGACATACCCACAATTTAAGATAATACTTAAATCTAAGATTTTATCTTAATTAATAACATCTATATAGTACTTATTACCATATTATTGATACAGTAGTACCTATTATTTTTACTTATTTAACAATAATTATTATTTATATTCAAAACGATTATGTAAAATATAAATATTAAAATAAACTTCATTTTATCATCATAATTGTCATAATAGTCTTTAAATATATATTGTTGATTTCCTTTGACCATCATTTAATACTTCAGTACAAACAGTTGAAATAAATAAATAAATATATAAATCTTTAATAAATAATACTTTTCTTTAATTATATATAGGTACTAAAATACATAAAATAATATTATTTCAGGCTAATATGATTATGAACAAAATAATTATAGATATAAGTATTAGTAATAATCACCACTTATCATTGATCTGGATTATTGAAGGTTGAATTATGGCAAACTATGAGCGGTATCTTCCACCGTGGATGACAGAAAAACCAGTAAGAAAACTGTATATCAGACCTTCAATTACTTCTATTTTTATCATGTTCCCAATTTATTTTAAATTATATGTAGACTCAGGGCCGGACTGGGTAGGCAGGATACTGGGAGTTTTCCAGTGGGTTGCTTGTACTCATAAGGATTTTTTTTTTTTAGGTTTATCGGTTAATGCATAAACGACACAATTTTGCAAAAGAGTTCAAACCTTAACAAATTATTTGATATGTATTCTGGTTCTGGATTCTAAACATATGCATTTTAAATAAAATTTATAGCATTTCTTTGTACTAATCAAAATTTAATTTTTTTAATTTTTAATAATAATTTTAAGTGTTCAAATTCTCAAAATAATATATAATTTCATATGAAAGTATATGCTTTTTTTAAGGTTGTTTTTATAGGTTTTCCTAAGTGGTTAAATAGACTGATTTTTTTATTTTCCCGGGAGAAATTTTTGACCCAGTCTGGCCTGTATAAACTTCAGATACTTATCTTTCTTTTTACCTTCAAATAAATATTTGATCTAAATTAAATTTACTGTGCATTTAGAACATTTTACTTTGTTTATTATTATTAGGTTATAAATAAAACAAAAGAGTTTATTCAGTTTAAAGGACAAATTAAACAGTGCATATATTCAAATATTTTAGCATCATACGCAGAGGAAATTTTGTAAGTTTAGTGTGTTTTACTACTCATTGTATCGTATATTCAATATACACTTAAAAAATGTTTTCAACACATTACCTTTAAATTAATTTATTCAACTCTATACGATTCATTGAGTTACAATATTTATAAAATATTGTTTTATCAAGTTACAACATTCTATCCTTTTTATGCGTTTAGGACCAAGATTGAATCTAGCAAGATAAATGAAGTTGTATATGGTTTTGATATGGAATGGCCAGTAACTTTTGACCGAAAATCAAAAAAAACTGCTCTTATACAAATTTGCACTGACCATTCCACATGTTATTTATTCCATGTATGTGTCTTAAAATTATTTTTCACTTGATGCCTGCTGCCTTATAATGCTAGTTATTTAAATTTGTATAACATAGGTATATCATATCATTAAACTTCCATCAATATTTGTAAACCTCATTAATCATCCAAGAGTTAGATGGTCTGGTGTATGTATTAAAAAGTAATTTTTTTCTCAAATTAACTTAAATAAATTATATTTAATAATACTTTAACTTATATTTAATTACACTCTATACTTTTTGTTTATAGTGATTTTTTAAAGCTTGGAAGAGATTTCAACATTGATGTTAGTGGTGCTGTAAATCGTATTATTGATTTAGGTACTTATACCAACCAAGTTTTGTATTTTGATTCATCTATTAAATGGAGTATGGCCAATTTGGTTAAACGATTAGTAAGTTTGTTAACGTACGCATTATCTAAGACAAATAATCATGTATAAATATTTATTTTTGATAGCTTAAAAAAGATGTGAATAAAGACGTAAATATTCGTATGAGCAATTGGGACAACATAAATTTAGATCAAAATCAATGTATGTATGCAGCAACTGATGCCTTTGTAAGTGTAATTAAATATAAATAAAACAATTTTGTATGGACAATTTCAACATAATCAGTTGTTTCATTAATATTCTTTATTATTTTAGATTTCTTTAATATTGTATGAACATCTAAGAAGATTTGATAAAGAAGATGAACTCCAGATTAATTAAACTATTAAAATTAGGGAAAATGAGTTATGATTCGTGTCTTAAATTACAAAACCATTTATCAGAATCTTTAAAAACAACAACCATTAATAATTGTGGTTATCTCATTATTGTAGAACACGAACCTGTTTATACAATAGGCATTAGACAAAAAGATTACAATTCACATTTAGAGGACAATTTAATTAAACTAGGTGCAGAATTCAAACGTACTAACCGAGGCGGTCTAATCACTTTTCATGGTCCTGGACAACTGATTGCTTATCCAATTTTAAATTTAAAAAAATTTAATCCTAGTATTCGGTGGTATGTTACAAATTTAGAAACAACTATTAAAAATCTTTGTAATGAGACTTATGGACTTAATGCAACAACTACGTCCGATACTGGAGTTTGGATTGATAATCATAAAATCTGTGCAATAGGTGTTAGATGTAGTCGATATGTTACTACACATGGCCTTGCTTTGAATTGTAATACTGACTTATCTTGGTTTAAGCATATTGTGCCTTGTGGCCTACAAGGTAAGGGAGTTACTTCTCTCAGTACAATTTTTGAAAAGAACATTTCTGTTAATGATGTGTTGCCATATTTTTTACAACATTTTTGTAAATCATTTTCATGTGACATTGTAAACACTGAAATTGATAAAATAAATTAATTCAATGTTATAATAAGTTAATAGAATACTAGGATAATGTGAAAACATTTAGATATTTTTTGTAAAACTATTTATTTATTTTTATCATTTGTTTGTATCTTATATTAGTTATATTTAGTATGTAGAAAACTAACAAAGTTATTATTTTTGTTGTTAATTTATAAATTTCCTATAAAAAAAATATTATATTCAATATTACAATTTGTTATTCATTGTCTAGTATTATTAATAAATAAAATAATAATTATCAAAGAAATTTGAGAACTTATTTTATAAAATTGTTAAGGAAATTAATAATTATTATTAAAATAATTTAAACCAATTAAACATAAATTATTAGCAAAGCCTGTTTAATAAATTGCCTCCAATATGTGTATGAATTATAAAATGGGTAAAGATAGAACAATTTTTTTTTCAAGTGAAGTAATCTACTTACAATTATTATAGTAAAATAATTCAACTTCATTGAATACAATTTTAATGAATTGTTTGTTTCAGTTAGGCTTCAGGTAAAAATTATATGATAAAAATCTTAGTAGAATAAAGATGTTTAGCACCATCTGTTTTTCAATTTTTTATCATCTATTCCAAATGACCTCAAATAATCATTTATTATTTAACTAAGTATTCAAAATTAATATTTTATTTTTGAATTCAAGAACCTGCAGATTAGGCTGTTGACTCCAATTTGTACTACCTATATATTTTTATTTAAATTTGTTTTGCTTCTTAATTGCATTTGATTGTGGGCGTCTGTTTCTCTACCAATTTTGTTTTAATTTATTATACAAATACATTTTTTTATATGTTTGTTAAACTTTGATTATCTATCCCAAGATGACCACTGAATAATCATTAATTTACAAATCTTATATCGTTAATAATGATTTTGATTTTAAAACAATTTAAAATGCCTAATTTGTAAATTGACGAGTTTTAATTAATTATAAATTATTATACTTTATAGATATAATTATTGTAATAGTAAATATGAATTAGTAATCAAACATTTTAAATTTCAAATCTTTTGAATAATAAAAAAAAAAAATTATTTTGTATTGCATATTATTATATTTTATTACTATTATTTGTTTGTATAATTAATAAATAATATAAAACAAAATAATAAGCAAAATACAATTATAATTTATTAAATACTTTAAAATTTGATAATTATTTCTGCCCCTTAAAATTAACGTTACTTAACATAGTATTTTCGATGTGCCGTTCAATATACAATTTCTATGAAGTTCAAGCTTTCAAAACAGAAGCAAAATTAGAAATTTGCAAGGGAAAGAAGTTGTACATTTTATTACAAATCTATAAACCTCTACAGTTATACTATTTTTAAAAAAGGACAACAGATTTTTAATATAAAAGTTGATTATGAAATAGAAGTTAATATAAAATTATATTAATAATTATTATAAAAATATTTGATATTCGATTATACAATAAGTATGAAATCGGTACCTACTAATTAACTTTATGACACTAGATTCAATTTTCTAGGTCTTTTAGAAATATTATCAATTATACAATCTCAGGTTCAGTCTATTTAGGGTTACTTTAATATTTATAAACAGTCAACTAAGTTGACTCATTTAACTTATCCTGAAAAGTGAAAATGATTTAAATTAGGTAGGTACTAAGTTTTCTTTTTTTTTCATTTTATAACAGAACGTTTGAATAACACAATAATTTACAGTAGGTATGATTGTATGTGTAAATTAATATATATTTTTTCAAATTTTCCAATGACAACTTATTACATTAAATAGGTACTAAAACAGTAAAACAATTGGCATTTTCTAAATCACTAAAATTAAAAGTACTATAAATAAAAAAATTTAGAAGACGCTAAATTGCCAATGGCTAGGCTTGACATACACAAGATTAAGTATTATAAATACTATTTTGAAAGAAATTACTTTCTTTCAATAAATAGGTACCTATTATAGAAAATTTGTACAATTGTGCAATTATACCTACGTGTGTATTAGCGAGTAGCAATAACAGTTGGGTATCGAATACCGGATTGCCTTATTTCAAGAATAGGAAATATGAGTAGGTATACAATAGGGTTCGAGGCAATATCAGCTGCGTCGATAACTATACAGTATACACTAATCATGCATAGGGTTGCCAAACTGCCATCCAACCCGATATTTCGGGACTGTCAACGATATTGAGCTCTCTATTCCAACAAAAGACCAAAACGTCCAGATTAAAACTATGTATGGCATATTTCGCTTTATTGCATACAAATATGAATGAATCATCAATCATAGCCGTTAATTATTACATGACTTGCGCAGAGTTCTATCAGTATATTAAAGGGAAAAAGAACTTGAAAAAAGCAAAATCTTCTGAAAAATATGGCCATTTAGGTACTTCTGCAATAAATTAAAAATATTTTCTTTGTATATAAACATAATGTAGGTATAAACAAATAATTTATTTAAAATAAAGAACTCCAATTTTTATTTTAAAATTGAGTATTTTTATACACTCGATCTTGTAATTCCTAGTACGTTTCAATTGAGACCCTAGCCAAATATGGCAACCCTATACTTGCATTACAAATTCACTAATTCACTATAATACAATTAAACTTACATACTTTTTCTTTGTTCTGAAAATATATTACATTTGAATTGTTATTGCCTACCTCAAGTTCTCAACAATAGTATTGTAATCAATGTAAAATGTCTATCACTCTTTATCAATTTTTTTTATTAAAATTTTAACAGAAAAAACTTTAAAGGATGTGTCACATATTCTCATCAACACCTTATTTACGTCACTGCTTTAACATACATATTGGCTAAACCAGACGTCATACTTTTATTGAGATATTATGAATACTTATACTTCTCATTCCCTATGAAACAGGATAATATAGTAATATTTTACCAATTCAATATATGATAACAATTCAAAAAAATTTATTTTATAACTGTTTTAATACTTTTAATATAAATTTCAGTATCGTTTAGTATACAACTGATATTTTTTTATTTTTACCGTAATGTAAAATGATATCCAGTTCGTTGATATTGTTGCATACTTTATTATTAATTACAATTCTTTGATTACTTTCTGTGAATACTAAATACTCTAAAATGGTACTGTCCATATTTGTAGGATACCGTGTCTGGGAGAGTGTAATTAAAATTTAGGTAAATCTAATGTAAACTATATAATATATAATCCTTCACAAATAGTTTCTTAGGAAGTAATTTCATGAAAAAATATGCATTATAATTGCTCCCCAAAAAAAAAAAATAATAATAATAATTACATTAAACAAGTTATGTTAAATTATGTTCATAAAAATATCATTTTGAAATAAATAATTTAATTTGAAAAAATTAACTCTGGTATAATAGGCTGGTTAGGTTAGGACTTCGTGGCCACAATTTCACATAAATATTACGTTATATTTTGTTATGCATACATAAATTTTAAATATAAATATAATGATACAAAGATGACCAATAAGTAACGAACAGTGACAACTGACAAGTGAGCACTGGCCACTGCTTAGCCTCAGCCCTCCACAAGACAACATTGTGGCTTTGTCTTTTCATCTTTTGTTTCTTTTTGAAGATGCCGCGTTGATCGTTTTTATTCCATGAACAAAAATAATAATGATAATAACAATGACACCGTCAAAAACACATTTTCTAGAAAGTTCTCGAAATTACTATTGTAGAGGGGGAAACTCACCCGCCAACCATAAACCCACCAATCGGAACGATGATCCAGGGGTGAGTTGCATGGGTTCTCGAATATTCCGTATTTTCGTTGTACGCGCCGCCGCTGCCGACTACAGTGAAATCAATTCAGTCTAATAGTCTACTCTACTGGCTTCTCGTTTGCAACTTCTAGCTTGAGACGTTGAGACCAATCATTTTTCTATCTACGCTCGCCGAGTTCGCTGTTCTGTTCCTCAGCTACTTGGTAAGGTTTTTACATTTATACAAATAACTTTTGCTTGAAATCTAGCAAAATATGTCATTAGTTTATTGTCCCCATCCTTCGTCTTAATACGTAAGACGTAACCATTATAATGATTTCGATTTTCCGTGGGCTTCTCTTTGTCCTGTAACTAAAACCCGCGTTTTTACTTTTTACCGGTAGCCTGAACCGTTAATCTCAATTTCCGGTAGTGGCAAGTATTAATGGTCGTGCCATCGCAACTATAGTTCTATCGAGTTATGCCAGTTTTTGATAAGTTAATTTTTCTTTTTTGTATGGTTTTGCTTCCGCTGGCCATACTAGGTCACTAACCAGTAACCGTTATGGCATCCATATTGAATTCTATTCATCTAATACCTATTCAGATTATATTGATTATAAACGATTATTGGTATCTTAGATATCTATTTTAATATTCAAAAAAACCCAATAGGTTTCACG